CCCAAACTGCCTTTTTTTTTTTTTTTTTTTTTTTTTGTTAATATGCCTTCTTTTCTTCAAATAGAATGGGGGTATGTTCTACTTAGCCTGTTGGTTAATTGAGGTTTATTTTCTTTTCCATAGATTTTAGTTGTTGAATATAGTTACTTTCAGACTTGGGGGCAAATAAGATACAGATTTATGAAAAGAAAAATATTGCTTTTCAACTTCTGTATTTTTGCTTCAGTGACTTAAATCTTACAAGTTTCTTCATTTCTTCAGTGACTTAAATCTTACAAGTTGTTCTTCATTTTGAAAGTATGTTAGAGAGTGAAAAATAAGCTAAAACGAGAAAGATTCAGAAATTGGAGATTTGCTAAGAGACATCTGACATCTGAAATGGTGGCTCCTGGTGGCCTTGGGAAGGTTCAGATGGCTTTTTGGTTATTGGGTTTAATGTGAAGAAATTCACATTTTTGTAGGTCAAAAAATGTTGAATATTGGCAATTTCATATGGCCTAATTTTATTAGTTCCCAACTCTGCCTCTCCTGTACTTATCTGAGCCTTCCCTCACTTTTTTTTAGGTAAACTGAATTCTTCCTATTTTTGCTCTTTTTACTCTGGAGAAATTCCTCACTAAACCCCTTTTCCATCATCAGTAGGAACCTCACTGTAGCACCCATGGTACGGGCTCTGGGTACACATGGCATGTGACTAGAGAGCAGTGAGACTGACTTAGGCAAGATGCATGTGCCAGCTTCCTAGCCCCACCTCACGTGTACTAGAGTAACTGGACTCGGAGGAGCTGTTTAAAGTGGACTATTAGGGCCAGTAAGGGGCCTACCTGGAAAAATGCCCACTTCCATGTAGACTGAGCCTGTGAGCACTAGACTCTAGCACTTCTTCTAGCTCCCCGGACTGGAACAATGCAGGTTCTCCTGGGGTTTCCTAGGGACCAGAACCAACATTTCATGAGAAAGCCAAGTTGTCTGGGCAGCAGTTACTGCCTGACGAGCATTGCCATGTGGACTCTCTCCTGACGTGCCATGTGGACTCTCTTTGGACGTGCCAGTGATATGTTCATGTTTGAAATTTGTTGTCACTGTAATAAAGTATAAATTGTTCTCTTCTTTCAAAATGTGCCCCAAATCAGCTTCCCTTTTTTCATTTTTGAATAAATTATTCGGTTGCTCAGTCCTGTTGGTTTACATTTCTGGCTTCCTAACACACTCTTTAATAGTCATACTGTCCTCAAGATTTTGTAAGGAGCCCAGGTTTCTTTTCCTCTGGAGAGAAATAACAGTAAATTCACCCGTGATTCTGCTTATAGATGACGACTTTTGGAGCTTTCCTCCACAAAGGAGCCTTCTGCAGGAACTACTTCAATTTGCTGGATATGCTGGTTGTTGGGGTATCTCTGGTGTCATTTGGGATCCAGTAAGTATTCTGGGGTGTGGGTGTGTAAACACACACAGGACTGTTGGGCAAGATGGTTTACATGAAATATTTTAACATAATTTATTGAGCATCATTTTAATGATTACGTTTAGCTATTCAGAAAAGCTTAATTTATTCTCTTGTCCAGAAAGCATTTGGACAATTCATGCATTTTTGTTTCACTTTTTCTTTTCATACCCACTACAAGGTTGGGCTTATTACTCTCTGTGATATTTGTTTTCAGCAGAGGGTGAAAGAAGCCAGCTTCTAGTCCGCTTCCTCCAGGGCTGGCGCCCAGGCCTTGCAGGCATCTTGTCCCAGGGCCCTAGTTCTCCATCTGTTCAGGATGGATTAGGACCAGGTGGCCTCTTGGGCCCTTCCAACTTAGATAGTGAAGGTTCCCTTGATCTCCAGGATATACCAGCTGTATGACCCTATTCTTTTGGCCTTTAAACTTCTCATCTAGGAGGGGGCCGAGACTGCAAGTTAGGGCCCTAAGTCCTTTTCATGGCATTTAGGGATTTCTGGTAAGGAACAGGCTGAGCTGCACACTCCTTGCCTACTGTACCTAGGAGTCTGGGGCAGAGGCTCCAGGGGGAGCATCCAGGGATGGCCTTGCTTTCTTGCCGACTTGAGAGCACCACTGCTCAGGTGTTGACCATCAGTACCCCCTAAGTGGTAACGTGCATGCCCACGTCTGAGCTAGTGGTGAATGGAGAGACCCTGTTCCCCTCAGAAGAAGACCAAAGACCCCTGCCTGAAACAGCCCCCTGGGGCAGTAGTCCTCTTCACCTCCCACCACTGCCTAGCAGGAGAGAATCATGTAGTCACAGCTTTGAAGGACATTCTCACCAGTACTTTTTAACTCCTATAAACTCCCGGCTGTGCCTGCCCTCTCCAGCTGCAGCCTTTGCCCACTGCCTCCTGAGCATGTAGTCCAGCCACATGCAGCCACCCGCCATGCTAAATGAGCTGCACTCTCATCCAGGACCTGTCTACCTGCTACTCCCTAGACCTGTAGCCCCTTCCTCTTTTGTCTAGCTAACCCTCACTCCCCCTGGAGTCACCTGGATATTACCTTCCTGGGGGACCTTCCCAGGCTCCCCAAGGTAGTGCTCCCCTAGCTGCATCACCTCTGTTGTCATACCTGCCACCTGGGGTTGCAGTCACCCATCTCACTAACCAAACAGTGGAGCCAGAGCAGCCCGGCACCAAAGCACTTCAGCAGGGCCCCAAACTTAGAAAACAAGACCAAACAAATAAAACTAAAGACTGCATCCCATCTCTGCAGAGGTTAGCTGTGCACCCAAGTCTGGGCCTCTGTGAGTGCCCACGGGCCTGGCTTACGAGGTGCCGTGGACTGTGGCCTAGAAGGAAGAGACTCATGAGTCTGAGTCATGGGGAAAGTTTAGCTCAGCTCCACATAATCCCACCATTGTGTAAGTCATATTAGAGTGAAGGTCAGGTGAAATAATCTCAAAGTATTTTATCCAACTGTAATACACTCTGCTTTCTTTGCTTCCTCTGCTCTTTTCCTTAGATCCAGTGCCATTTCTGTTGTGAAGATTCTGAGGGTCTTAAGGGTCCTGAGGCCGCTCAGGGCAATCAACAGAGCGAAAGGACTCAAGGTTTGGGTTTCTCTCCTCCAGGCTGTGCTTGCTTTGGTGGGGTTAGCTATAATTACTGACTTTTCTGGGCCAGAGCTGGGCTGAGGCCTGATGGATTTTAAAGTGGATTGTACATTTGAAAAGAGTATAACTCAATTGAGCTGCCTCTGCCAAGTGCTGATAGCATTTTTAACTGTTGTTATATTCTTTATTTTTGTTCATTTAAGATATTTTCTTTATATGATTACCGTTCATTTACTTCTTTTCATTGTTAATAGTGTTTATTTTAGTCTTTAAATGTATTCTCATGCACATTGTATAAAAGGCCAGAAGGTTTGCATTTTCCTAAGTCCTTTTATGGGGTGGGGACCCTGTAAGCCTATGTGCCAGGCAGTGTGCACCCCATACTTCTTCTGACCAAACTAACAGCTTTGGAGGAAGCCAAGGAGGGGCCTACCTACAGCATACTCCTCCCGGGCAGCTGTGGTGCACTGGGGTAACCCCTGCAGATAACTACCTGAAAAACAAAGCACCACAAAGTTGGAAGATCATATAGAAATAAACAGAAAATCTTGGCTGGTGTTAGCTCTCTCCAAGGCTAAAACAACAAAGGCAAATAATAACCACTTCACCCTCTCCCTGCTCCTCTCTCCCCAGCACGTCGTCCAGTGCGTCTTTGTGGCCATCCGGACAATCGGCAACATCATGATTGTCACCACCCTTCTCCAGTTCATGTTTGCCTGCATCGGGGTCCAGTTGTTCAAGGTACAGGGACGTGCCTTGGAGCACAAGGCCCAGCTGATCTCTTCAGGGGGAAGTCTGCATTTGATTGTCTGTCTGTTTTGTACCCAGGGAAAGTTCTATCGCTGCACAGATGAAGCCAAAAGTAATCCTGAAGAATGCAGGTGAGTGACCTGGTCACGGGAGTGAGGAATTTGGAAGAACAAATAAAAGACTTCAAGGATTCATTTGTGTAGCATTTCAGAAGTTTTGTCATAGACTATTAGAGGCCTGTGCGCTCAGCTCATGGCTGGAGAGATGAATGGTTTTATTTTTGTTTTATTTGAGGTAACATTCATATAACATAAAATTAACCAGTTAAAATGTACAATTGAGTGGCATTTAGTACCATCACATTGTCGTAGAAACACTACCTCTATCTAGTTTCATAGCTTTTCGTCACCTCAAAAGAGCAGATTGATGGCTTTTGATGTTTGCGGGGGAAAGCCCTAAAATCTAAAATAACGGTTATGAAATACCTCAGAAAGCTCACCTGACAGCGACATGAATAATTCTTCCCCAAACCAGAACTTGAAGCTCAATTCCCTGCTGTTCAGGGGCTGACTCCTTCCTTCTGACAGGTTTTCCAGGCTGCTTCTCTGCCTTGGCTCCCTCCCGTTGCCCACATTTTGGCCATATTTCCATTCACAAGAATGGGCAGAGGAGAGAGAAGGCGGGAGATTTTTGTGCCTCTTACCTCAAGCTGTCCAGAAGGATGGGAAGGCAGACATGGAAACCGTTGCCTAAAGTTCTAACTGTGCGGACGTCCATGTTTCCCCATCCTTTTAAGCAAAAAGTGTGGTCATAGGTCACCAGCTGCAATGTGACGGTGTCTCTGCACCTCCAGGGCACCACTCATGTGGGCTGTGGGGTGTAGGGCGCCCCCTGGAGCTGAGCGGCACAGCAGCAGCATGAAGGCACTTCCCCTTCCCTCTTTGACTTCACTTCCTCACCCGTGAAATAAAGACATTGGACTCCTCCCAGAAATGAAATCATAAGAGAAATATTATGTGCCAGAAATTACAGAATTCTCTGGAAAGAAAGCTGGAAATATTGTTAATATAAAGAGAAGGAGTTTAATTAAAATTAAAATGTAGATAAGCGGGTACTTGGGCTTGTTTCCCAGAGCTTATGGAATTCTCCATGGCCAGCGTATTTAAGCCAACGTGTCTGATTCTTCAGTGCATAGCTTGAGCCCATTGGATATTAGAGATGTTTGTTATTTGGTAGTTCTCATTTATTATCAGGCATATGCAGGGTGTCTGCTTAGTTGCTCTGGAGAAGACTCATTAAGCCAGTAGTTACTCGATGGCTATTTGAACTGGAAAGTAAATTAAATGCAGGGCAAGAAAAGGAGAAACACAGACTGTGCAGGGCTCAGGTCTGTGGCCTGGCCGGCAGACTGAGCGTGACTGTGCCTAGAGATGTGGGGTTGGGGCAGCCATGACTCATTTTGTGTCGAGCCAAGATGACCCACATTTCTTTACCTCTCTAGGGGGCTTTTCATCCTCTACAAGGATGGAGATGTTGATAACCCTGTGGTCCGTGAGAGGATCTGGCAAAACAGTGATTTCAACTTTGACAATGTCCTTTCTGCTATGATGGCCCTTTTCACGGTCTCCACGTTTGAGGGCTGGCCTGAGTAAGTAGAGATAATGTACGTCTTCAGGGAGCTTCCTTCTTGCTTTGGGGCACTCTAAGCTGAGCCATCTCTCCTGGAGTAAGTCCTGCTTTTCTCCACAGTTGTGGGCTTTTCCTATGATTTTTAAACTTTGAGCCACTTATCAATCACTTCTTGGCCCACAGGGCTCCTCTGTCTGATTAAGCAAATGATTAACCTTTGTGACCAGCTGACAGGATTCTCGGATTTGGGAAGCAGGGGTGGCATAGTCCCAGGGAGGAGCCTCATCTCAACTGGCTCCTGGGAAGCATCTCTGGATGGGAATGGATGTCCTCAGAGGTGTTTGTCATGCCAATTCCCATTGGTAGCCATGTCAGTAAAGCTACCATTACACCAGAGAGGGTCTTGATAGTGTCCCAAAGCATCCATCCATCCATCCTTCCAACCACCCACCCACCCACCCATCCACTCACTCATTCCTTGTACTAATACATACCAGGCATAGACGGCTGCCATTGTGCCATGTCTTTCACTGATGCATTCACTTGCTCATTCATAAAGTGTGCTTTTGATACCAGCTTCCTGCAACATGCTATATATGTTAGGCACTGTGGAAGAAACAGTTGTCTCAGCATGGTTCATCCCTTCAAAGCCCAAACCCAATTAGAATGTAAGGCAGTTAAACCAGGCAGGAGGGTCTGGAATGTCAGAGATATGCAGAATAGGGTCCTGGAGAATGGCTACAATTTTGATGGGTAAAATAAGAAAAATGGAAGGAAGGAAGAACGTAGAATACAAAAGGAGAGTCTCTTGTACTTTTGTTACTCTCTGTTCTCTAATTCCTCACCCCACCTCTAGCTCCTGCCAGCAGAGCATATATGCGTAAATGGGGTCCTGAATGTCAAGTTCCCGTGCCTAGAGAACCTGTAAAAGGTGGACAGGCTGGTCTTCTCAGGCTGGCAAAACCCTCATTGGTACTGGTGGGGGAAAAGAGGCATGGGGTAAGATCTTTCACTCTATGAAGGTTTTGAGTCTCAGGTACTGAACACCGTGCTTTAGCAAGTCGGGGTGGTAGCTGAGGGGAAATTAAGAAACTTGGGACGTGGGGCTAAGAGGAGCTGGGCTCAACTCTCAGCTCTGCCCCCGTGGAGCGTGACCTTGGGCACTTAGATCCCTCTCTGTGCTCCAATAAGATGGGGATGACAGCAATGTCCACTTTTCCAGATAGCTGTGAAAGTGTGTAGCACAGTGCACCCAGGGGTTGGGCGCCCTGGAAGTGTTGAATTTGCATCAGTCTGGGTGTGAATTTAACTTGGGGGTTTTACAGTAATTTCACTTCTTCCTGTTGAGTTCTGCTGGGCATGTATTTAATTTTTATGCATATTTCAGTTTGGGGAAGTTCTCTGAGTTCTTTGGAAATCCCTGGTTGCTTACTGTCGTCTTTGCCCGTGTGTATACAGTTTTCAGTTCTGCCACTGAATAACATAAGATGTTCTTCCTCTCTTCTGTCCGTGAATAGGAAAGAGCATTGTTGAGTATTTGTGAAATCATTTTTTTAAATTGTTTGTTGAGGTAACATCGGTTAATACAATTATATAATTGAAATCATTTGTTTTTTGCAGTTGTCAAATGTTAATCAACAAATATATCTCAGGTGCCCACCACCTAGGTGCTGGGCTGACTGGGCCTAATGCTGAGGAGGGTGCCTCTAGATTTGCTGAGTCCAGGGGCCTTGGGCAGGGCTCCAGTGAGGAGTCTGACAGTCAGCGCCCATGGTGGCATTGAGAAGAGGGGATGTGCCTGGGAAGGCCGTGGGGTCAGGCTGTGTGGGGTTGGCAGTGCTCACTTGGTCCTTCTGCTCTCCAGGTTGCTGTACAAAGCCATTGACTCGAACGGAGAGAACGTCGGCCCCATCTACAACTACCGTGTGGAGATCTCCATCTTCTTCATCATCTACATCATCATCGTCGCTTTTTTCATGATGAACATCTTCGTGGGTTTTGTCATCGTCACCTTCCAGGAGCAGGGAGAGAAAGAGTATAAGAACTGTGAGCTGGACAAAAATCAGGTTAAAGTCACACACTGTTTGGGCTTCTGTCCCTCAAGCAGGAGAGGAATGACGTCTCTTTTGATGGCTTCCCCATGCACAGAGAAGGGTGCCACCTGTGTCTGTCCCTGGGGCTTGGGCCCTGTTCACAGCGCACCCATGGCCAGTTTGAGGGATCACTGTTGAAAGTTAGGTTCCCAGATACAGATTTGACTTTGTAATTGTAGAATCCACCCCTAAATCTGTGGGTGAGAAGCCAGAGAGGTGCTTGGGCCACCTTCTCTGGTCATGACTCACCAGTGACAGCTCAGAATCTTGTGGGGTGGTGTGGCCAGGGGCCAGAAAACACCCAGTGATGCTCCCAGAGTTCCTAATGACGGAAAGTCTTTTATCTCCTCAACCTCAGCACTATTGACATTTTAGGCCAGATAATTCTTGTGTTTTGTAGGATGTTTATTTATCACCATCCTTGGCCTCTGCTCAGTAGATTCCAGTAGCACTCCACCCCCCGCCCCGCCCGCACCCCCCACTCCTGTTTTTGGTAACAACCAAAACATCTCCAGACATTGCCAAATGTCCTCTGGTCGAGAACCGTTGACTTAGGAGGAAGTGTGCTGTCATACTACAGGGAAAGTCACTAAATGTAAACTTGGGGCTGTGATTGCACTGGCATCATTCTCTACGTAGCACCTTGTTTTAACAAATCTGATAGGAGCTGGGGCTTTGGCCCTGATTGTGTGATAATGCAAGGGAGCCAAGAGACCTGCGTTCTGGTCCTGTTCTACATGCTCTGTGGCTGTAAGTGCATCCCCACTCCTCTCTGGGCTTGCTTCCTTATCTCATTAAGGAGTTGCTTTTAGAAATCTCTTTCAGCCCTAAAAGATTGTGAGATTGAGATTCTGCTCTGGCAGTTTCCCCCAGGTCCTCTATCGGTAGCATCTGTGTTTGATGATGATGGAATGAGCCGGAATCATCTGCCAGCCCGAGTTTCCTGGGGGAAGTGGCTGTGGTGAGGTGGTCTGTCTTCTGCTGTAGCCATACTCTTCGGGGGAAGCATGAGGACAGTACTGGTTTTGTTTGGAGGAAGATGTTGCTTTTACTTGTCAGGGTGTCCCTGCAGATTCCATCAGTGATGGTCAGTGGGAGGCCTGGCCCAAGCTCTTCACCCCCACCGGGGAAAGAGAGTGTCAGGGCAAGGCCCAGGCCAGCCAGGCAGCATGAGAGCTGAACTCGAGTCACTACTTGAGGTCCAGAACAGGCTCGAATCAGGAGTCCCTGGAGTCAGCGTGTGAGGTAACAGCAGGACCAGGTCCTAGACAGAGGGAGCCCAGAATCCAAGCAGAGGAATGGGCATAGGTCTAGGCTTAGGAGTAAGCAGGGCCTGACGCTGAGCTCTCAGAATGAGAGGGAAGAACAGTGCTCTGGCTACCATTACTGACCCAGAGGCCTAAGAACGCAATAAGCTCCTGAGCCTCAGAACCTCACAGGTGGACACATAGTTAGCTCACCATTAAAAACTTACAGTTAGCACACACTGGCTCCTGAGAGGTATCTCATGTTGGTCCGTCCTGAAGCAGCCAGGGGGCTCCAGTCTTGGTCAGTGAACCCGGCCTCTGTGGTTCTTGAGGATTTCTGTGTCTCTCGTGATGTGGTTTCCTCTCCTGGAGGACAGCATGAGCAGGAAAACTACAAATGTAATCCACCAGCACAGAGGAAAGGCAGGAATAAGGCTTCGTGTCTCTGCTTGTGCACTGTAGGACCTCAGGTGGGCAGTTCTCAGCTCTGGACCCAGTTATGTGTATGGAGTAAAATGGAAGCAGACTGTGGGATCTGCTTACCCACCAGGTTGCTGTGAGGATCAGAAGAGGTGATGGAGCCGGGGGCCCTTTGTCAGAGTGCTGCAGAGTGGTGTCCGTGGGGTGACCCAGTAGTTTTCCCCCTCGTCTTGGGTCCTTCCCAGCAGGTGCCGCATTGGCTCTTGCAGAGCAGGTGAGAACTGCGTCCCTCTCTAGACGTACTCAGGACCCCTCGTTCCTCTTTTCTACCGTTGCAGCGTCAGTGTGTTGAATACGCCTTGAAAGCACGTCCCTTGCGGAGATACATCCCCAAAAACCCTTACCAGTACAAGTTCTGGTACGTGGTGAACTCCTCGCCTTTCGAATACATGATGTTTGTCCTCATCATGCTCAACACGCTCTGCTTGGCCATGCAGGTAAAAATGGAGACACATGGAAACGGGGGTCATGTCTGGGTCTTCTGCACAGCCACATGCCCCAAATTCTGAGGGCAGAAGGCCACACCTCACAAGAGGCCGGGTTTGATTTTCTGATGAGCCTGGGCTGTAGTTTGGCTGAGTCCTGTTCTCACGATGGGAGTTTAAGATCACTCTTTTGTTGAGAGGCTGTCTTTACATTGTGATTATAGATGACATTTCCATGGAGCCTGAGCACGGCATTCAATTCTATAAACCTTTACTATGGGCCTCCCATGGCCAGGGGGTGGTTGAGGACCAGTGCTCTGTCTATGCAGAGTTGGATGGACAGGGGTTTCGATCCTGACTCTACTCCTTACCAACTGGGTGACCTTGAGAAAGTTATTTAAATCCCCTGAGCTTGCTTTCTCTGTTGGTAAAATGGAAATAAAGCTTATGCTGGATAATTCATGCCAGGCACTTTCTTCTGTGCCTGGCACAGAGTAAACATCTAATGTCGAAAAACAACGTGTATGTCACATTTCTGCCCTCAAGGAGCTCTCAGTATGGCAGTGGGGAATCTTCCAGTCCAGGGAGTGTCAAGTTTGACCTGCATTGCAGCTGTTCCTTGTCTATCTTTCAGGCAAGGAGTGAAGCTCCCTTCAGTCGGCCAAGTTGGATTACAGTGTAGTAACAGTGTTAATGGCATTAGCACTGTTATTTTTAATGTAAAGTGTAATATATAATATAATTAACACTGTAATTAACAGTATTGACAGTGAGCCTTTCCAGCAGTTATGTTGTCTAGCTGCACTAGGACAAGAAGCAAAGACAGAGATCTAGATTCAGTTTTCACATCGACTTTAAGAACTGGAGCAAATCAGATCAACTCCCAGTGCTGTCTGAAAAAAATGTGTCTAAAGACAGCCAAGGGTAAATTTTCTGTTACTGTCCTTAAATTTAAGAATTCTTTATCTATGAGAAGTACCATACGCTGATGTAGGGGAAAGTGTGAAGTCAAGATAGCACTGCCTTTTATTGAAAATAGAACTAAACGGCATAAAGTTTATCCCTAACCAAATCCTACCCTTACTCATAGACATTTGGGTGAGTTCCACATTGTGCCTGGGTCAAGGCCCTGAGTGTAAAAACCCTGACAGAAGAAGGGGTGGGTTCCTTTTATCCTGGACACAGGAAATTGATGCCTTTCCCCACTCATCCTCATCTTGTCACGACCCCCCTTCACTTGGCAGGACAGCCCTGCGACCTCGCAGTGCCAGCAGAATCATTAGGAGAGGGTGCTGGAATGTGGAGGTGGCCTCTGCGCCAAAGTAGAGGTCGGACACCTGCAGAGAGTAGAGGGCTGGGGGCCTCATTTTGCTGGTCCGGAGTGGGCCTCTGAGAACTGTGCCTCTGTCTTCATCCACAGCACTATGAGCAGTCCAAGATGTTTAATGATGCCATGGACATCTTGAACATGGTCTTCACTGGGGTGTTCACGGTTGAGATGGTTTTGAAAGTCATTGCATTTAAACCTAAGGTGAGTTGCTGGACCTACTTTTCAAAGGCTGTTGCTGAATTACTCCAGAGAAGCACCTGCTTCCTGTTAGTCTTGTGTTACTGAATTATGCTGAATTGTTTTAGCTACTAACTAGGTTATCACCTGAGAACATTAACATCTGATTAGGGCATCAGTATACATACGGGGAAATAAACCTGCAAAAACAAAACCTCATAAAAACAATTCTTAGAAAAAGAAGAGGGGAGGAGAGAATTAGGAATTTATAGAATGGAAATTGTTTTTGAAACCTGATTTTCTGTTTCTAGCATAGCATGTGTTATGCTGTCTCGGGGAAACTTGCTTCATTATTTGAGCATTAGAGAAATTGTTTTAACATAATCCATCAGAAAGAATTTGGCCCTGATTTTACTTTTAGATTTCCAGGATAAAGACTTTTGTCTACAGCATTTTTTTCACCTTTTATGGACAGTTCTAACAGCTACGGACCTCTCGTAGTCATACCACTTTTTAAATTTAATTTAGAAAAATTTCACTTTTAAGACAAAGCAAGACAGGAAATGAGTTCAGCGCTGTTGGACCGCTCAGCATGTTCTGTCTCCTGCAGGAGGGAGTGAATCTATTTCCACAAGTATCAACGTCTGTGGTATAAGAGGCAGATAGATAGTAAGGTGTCGAAGGGCACGCATGGTTCTGGATTCAGATTCCCTACTCTTCACTAGCTAATCAAGCAAGTTCCTTAACTGTTCTATGTCTCAAATTCCTCGCCCATAAAATGAGGACACTAATAGTTCTATTTCATAGGGTGCTTGTGAGGAGTAAGAATCACTATATGTACCATGCTTAGACAAGTGCCTGGCAAGTAGTATCATGCTATTGATGTGTCAGTGCTGTTACTATGACATGACGATGACCACCACTACCACCACCACCATCATCATCTTCAACTAATGATGTTCCCTCATCCTAAAACCTGAGGAACAAATTCTGCCTTAACTGTGGGACATTGGACCCACAGTTTCTTTTCTAGCAAAGCCCCCAAACTATCACAATTAGAGAATGACAGAGTTCAGTGACCCAGTTATTCGTTCGTCTGTGTATAATGTATCTGACAACACTAATTTAAGACTTGGATTATGAAATGATGATTTCACATACTCCATGGAATTCTAATTCAAAACTGTTCCTTTCTTTAATTTGAATTAATTTCTATGCAATCTTTATCAGCTCTTTGTGGACCCAAAAGAAAGGACACTTGTAAGTGACCAATTGGGGTGATTGCAGTGGGGGTCAAATTTGGCACTTTATGCATGGCCAGATGTTATTTACTGTGACTTGTCCATATCTACATATATAAACATTTCCAACTTTTCCAAATTCATCTTAATTTCCTTCGGCGATTTTGATTTGCTTTCCTCTCACCTTTACTTCTTTGAATAATATTTGTCTGTGCTGATAGAAAGGTTTGCAAAGTAAGGACATCAAAAGTACTTGAGAAATGCAATGTGGAACATATGTATGGAACATTTCCTAGATCACTTTTGCCATGTCTTTTTTTTTTTTTTTGACTTGTGATTAAGCTCTGAAGTTTTTCAAAGCTTATTCTAGGCCGAAGAGAAAGCCCACTTGCCCATGATGTGTGTGTGTGTGTGTGTGTGACAGAGAGAGAGAGAGAAGGAGGTGTGAGTGTACCCTCTAGCGGGCCATTGCGTCGATGGCCTGTCGTGCACTGCTCTGCCCAGCAAACCATTGTTACCAAACTTGGGAGGACAGTTCAGTAGTGTGTGAACAGGTTGGAGATACCAAAGGAAAGTGAGTAGCTAATTTATAATCAGTACTAAAGGATCAGAGTTTTGAAATGAGTGATTTCCGCTAGAAATTGTGCTACTTTGTAGTTTTGCTTAGCAAGATACTGCCATAGCATAAGACAACCTCAGATTACAATGGAGAGAAATTTTATAAAAGCATCTCTGTGCTTGAGGAGCATCGTTTCTGCATTCACCGGAGGCAGGGGAGAGAGATTTTACGCTTTTACATGCCTGGAGAAGTGAGAGTCAGTTCACCAAGAAGCAAAGCTCTTCTTAGAATACTCCCTAACTTTCCTTGTCTTCTCTTCATTGTTAACAGCCAGTCCCAGGCGAGTGGGCTTCTCCACAAGTTGGTGGAGGCCACCCAGTCAGAGGGGCAGTCGGGCTGAGGAACCATGTTGTAAAGCTGCAGAGGGAACAGTCTTTGAGGAGATGGCCACAAGGGACAGAGGGTTGGGAAACCTGGCCCATCAGTGTCATCTCAGAAAAGTCTGTCTCCTGTGAGCAGCTTTGTAACAGGGTCTCTTGGGGTGGCTGTCTCTCCTGTGAGGGGACACACCTTCTAGGAGAATGTGTCAGTATCTCTGTCGGGAGAGATGGGGGCAACATAATATAAATACAGAAAGTGAAGTTGGACAAAATCCTTTCCGGTAGGTGAGAAGGTATTGGAGGAGGAAGGGTTAAAGCCAGTTGAGAAACCTGACCCTGGGGAATTCTTTTATATTCAAGAGCCTGACTGAGAAATGGGGCCTCTTGAGAGGGAACACATCTAGAGAGACATGGGTCTCAGGACCTGCAGGGTCAGACCACCCATCCCCATAAGTGAGAAGGGCTGAGGTGGGCAGACAGAAGTAGGAAACCCAGAGGTGGGAGTTTCTGCGTAGGAAGAGTTGTTTTGAGCATGGATTAGGTGAGAATGGAAGGTGGTGAGAGGCCAAAGAGCTGAAGAATTAGGGCAAAGCAAGCGGGCTGCTTAGTATGTTGTATCAGTTCCCAACGGAAGACCCACCTGACTCCTACAGGTATAATTTGAGTTTCCATTATCATGCTCCTGGATGTCACCCATTTGGTGTTTGGTCCAGCATATGCTTGAGCCAGGTTATCTGCCTTAGTTGTGGGCTTATCCCCAGAGAACCATACTTTGTTCCCAAGTCTTAGGTCATCAAGTACTTTGATCTTGGTTCTGCCTCACAAATGGCTTAATTTACATGCCTTGCTACCTGGGCTTGGATAAACTAAAGAGTAGTTAGGTTTGAGGAAAGAAGGAAAAGCTTTAATGCTGTCCACATGCTTCTGTGCAGAGCTTATGCACAGTGGACACTGGATTATTTGGTTACATCAGGCGCCCAGGCCAGCATTGCCTGCCCCAGGGTCCCTGGTGGGAGTAAGGCTTATTAATAAAACCTTAGCAATCTTCCTAGAGGACATTCTCTACCTCCTAGAAAGAAAATTCAATACTGTCTTTTCAGTTCAGATATAATGTAAGTGATTTATCTTAATGACAAATAACACTTGAGAGCAATTATTCCTTTCTTTAACTAGAACTTTACGTCAGACTTCTTCATGGGCTCAGCCAGTCACTTCAATGTTGGAGTTCCCCAGAACATTCTCCTGGTCCACTTCTCACCCGGTAAATGGGTACATCATGCCCGGGGCCTCAGTGGCCACCTGCATCTCATCCAAATCTCTATTGCCCTCCTCCTTTCTGAGTTATCCTGACTGCTAAATCATCTCCCTGCCTCTGGTCTCAGCCCCCCTCCAGTCCTGGTCATGGTTAGCAGCAAAAGAAGGTCCACATACTCCTTTTGTAAACCTGGAGCTGACTCTGGCGCTCTTTCAATGAAATTCTGGTACTGGCCACCTATTGCACGAGAAACAAATATAATTCTCTTAGTCTAATTTCAGGGTCTTCCACCAAACCTTGACCCATTTATGTTGCCAGCCATTGTCTCCCTATTATTCCTTCTCCCCACTGCATCCTCAACTGTTAACATGCTAGGCCTTTCCATGACACATGCTTCTGTCTGGAAGCCTTTCTTTCACCTTGTTATCCTTTAAGGCCTGTTCAAAATGTTGGCTCCTCTGTAACACTGTCCCTCCCAACCCAGCCAGAGTCAGCTCTTCCTGCGCATGGGTATCTATTAGATGCTTATAGTGCAGTAGCTTCATCATCACTACTCCACATCTCTCTCCACTAGCTGATAAGTAGATGCTCATGGTCTCAGGCTAGATCTTCTTTGTCTCACGTGATGCTTGCTACATGTTGGTTACTCAGTAAAGATTGGGGGAATGAACAAAAGAATAAACGAATGAGTCTATAAGTGCAGCCTCTTGGCGTAAGACAGTACCTCCTTTTTTATCACAGGATATTTGGGCAAAGTAGAGTGGCCAAAAATGGATGTTTTCCTTTAAGCGCCCACTTGGTCTTTATAAAGGCTTATGTTAATTAGAAAGCAATCAGTTATAGTTTCTACCAAAAGTTGGCGCTGTGGGTCATCCCTTGAGTCAAATGCTTCCCAAACGAGCCCTGGTAAGTGATCTGGCTGTCATGGTCAGCAGCAAAAGAAGGTCATTTGTATAGGCTTCTTCAGATCTTCAGGTGAGAGGGCCTCCAGGCAGCAAAGAGAACTTGGACTTGGACCGCTTTGCTTGTTTCCCATTTGTAGCCATTCCACAAACATTGCCGCCCCTCGCTCCCCGCCCCGTACATGTGCCACGCCTATGGTATATCCTGGCTGGAGATCCAGGCTCTGCTGCCAGGAACTCACAGTTGAGTGGGAGATGCACAACAACAGACAATCAGAAGATAGTGCTTAGAAATAATGGAGCTTCCTGGCTCCAAGGCCCACATTAGTCTGGTTTATGATTTGAAATTTCTGGAGTCAGAATTGTTTCCAGGTAATAGATGTTATTGCATATGGCTGACTTGCTTGGTCGTTTTAAGCAGGTGGGGCTGGGCAAAATATAATATAAGGACAGATTCTGGCTGTGCTGGTAGGGACTGCTGGTTCCACTTGAGGGGCCCTGGCCTCAGAATTCAGCTGTAGGAGCATGTGTCACTAATGGCTAAGAGGAGAGAGATGGAGATGAGCCTTCTGTCGGTGGCCCATGTCTAATCTTCTGATTATTAGACTTTGGTAGAAAAGAGATGGGGGGCAGAGGCATGCTCACTTGATAGTGATTTTATTACAAAGGGGGCTACTAAACAGGAAAGCAAGATGTGGGAAGAAGGGCGGGCTGGCATTTTCTGCCTTCCCTAGACCTAGCAGAGTGGCATGGTCAGAGCCTGTGATTCCAACAACCTGCACTTAGCCTCCTGTCACTTAGGGGTGTCAAGCTTCAGTGCAGAACTCTCTAGGGTTCTGTGAGTGTGAGCGATCATCTGAAGAGAGAGTTGACGAGATTGCTGAAAAAGTTTTAGGACCCCAAATATCTTGGTGATTTAAAGCAATTTTATACAGCATCAGGGGCCAGAATGGCCCAGTTGGACAACAGTTTATTGGCTGATGGGAATGATCCAAAGGTGTGAATACTGATAATTCTGGAGAGGAGCTGTTCCAGAGTAAAGTCCAAAGTGGGTGGGAGGGGCTGGCACCCAGTGCACAGGTGGCGGGCTTGGCCTCAGGTACATGATATACTGTAATGGGAAGAGCAGAGCACATGGTGCAGTGTGGCCAGAGCTGTTTGTGTGCTAGGATTGAGAGATGAGGAACACTGGGTCTTCTGCTCTGTGTGTTTGCCAGAGGCCCAGCTGTTACTAATGAACAAAGATTTTATTAAGACATCAATTCCTCTCTAGAGGAGAGGTTAAGGATCACCATTTCTCTTTAACTTTTGAGTTGCTGTTAAACCCATGAAGGAAAGGGCAGGCTCTGCCCCTCACAGCACAGTCCGTGCAAGGCTGCTAGTAAGCCAACTCTTTGTTGCCCTTTCACAACAGAGTAAATCATTTAGAAGAGAACTATGTTCTTACCATCTGGAGACATTCACGGCAACACTTAGTGTACCTTTTGATCCAGCCGATGTTATTTGTTAGAAGACACTGTTCGATCCAGCTGACTTTCTGGTTAGGGACTTCCTCTAGGAAGGAAGTAGCGTGTCCCTTCATGTCCTGGAGCAAGCTCTTTATCTCATCTCTGACCAGCATGACTCTCATGTTAGTAGCACTTGTCTAGTCCTCGCAGTGGCCTAGCCAAGAATCATACATTGTGAGAAGAAAAGCTTGGTGTGGGATACAGTATATTTTTAAGCAGACCTTCCTATTAGACCTGGATACACAGGTCATCAGAGTTGGTGCGGGTGGACTCCTTTTGTTTACTCGTTAGAGGACTGAGATATAGGGGTCTGGGAGGGTGGCAGTCAGTGAGGGTAATGTGTGATTGAGGCACTGTGATTGTAGGAGGGGAGGAAAGACATAAAGCCTGGGTCAGAAGTCATGGCAGCTGGGTGGGAAAATCTTACGTTATTTAAGATGAAATTCTGTAGAAACCCAAATCGTCAGTATCATAGTTCCCCGCCATACGTGCACCTGGAGTAAGTCACAGTAACTAGAATAAACATCCCTACACTAGCTATTAGGAGAGCCACATGTTCACGTTTTCTATCATGCCATAAAAGACAGGGGCTCTGCAGTGGCCTCCTCTGGGCCTGCATTTGATCACAAGTTCATGAGATCTGACACTTCAAAGTACCTTCTGTTCTAGTTTTCTTGATTCAGCACTAAGCGTACCCAGTTATAAGCACATTGGGCCCCCTTTTTTATATTATTCATATCTGAATTTTTATTTCCCAAACATGTTCTGGCTTTCTGAAAAGACACAATAGATATACAGACAGTCACTGGCCTGGCCGCCAGACGCCTCTGTGTACTGCCCCGCCCACTACCCACTCTGATCTCGGGCTTCCTGGGGGTGTCAGGAAACAACAAGCACTAATTTAGCACCTGTTGTACTGAACCCAGAAGAGGAAGTAAAATGTATGGCACATACGTATGGATGTGTAAGTCACACTTACTCATAGGGCCGTTGTGACCCAGAAGAGGAAGTAAAATGTATGGCACATACGTGTGGATGTGTAAGTCACACTCATAGGGCCGTTGTACCTTCAGAATTGCCATGAGATATGAGGACCTAAAAAAACAAGAACTAGGTTGAGTAACCAGTTGGGTGCACACTGGTGGAAAAGACATTGCAATGTGCCAAGCGCTAACTGAGTTCAAGGCTCTGGCCTAGATATTGGGGTTAATGGAGGAGGAGACAGAATCGTCAGCACAGTCCTCTTCCTCAGAGGCTTTCAGTGTGGTGGACTTGCAAAGACATCAAATTCAGTTTCAAGACATGAGAGAGAGGCAGAGTCAACATGATGAGGGGCGGAAGTCAGGTGGATCTGAAACAGTCCCCTCAGGAAGATAGCATTTGATCTCACCTTGAAGGAGGAAGTGCATGTGGAGAGAGAGAGTTGGGGTGGGGAGGCTAGAAAGGCAGAGGCTTCAGGAGGTGGGGAAGAACCTGATGGAGGTTTTGAGGGATGGAAAGGAGCCTTCTTAGCCTGGAGGGCAAAGAGGGAGGGAGAGGGAACAAGAGCTAGGGTGCAAGGAGAAGCCTGTTGGCGACTTGGGGCTTCCTGCCAGGACACTGGGAGCCCTTGAGCATCCTCGTCGTCTTTCAGTGCTCTTTTCCTCTGTAAGACCTCTGTGGCTTCTCCACCTGAGCCGCCATCCCCGCAACCCAGAGTGAGCGTCTCTGCCTCAACTCTGTGCCTCGGATCTATGAGGGCTGCTGTGTCTGTCTCTCTGTCGGCCATTGCCGTCCCTGTTAGACTGAGAGCTCTGTGAGGACAGGGACTTGTCTTGGGCCCACCATTTCTAATTCTTGTTGGACTGACAAGGAGGGAGAAGGTTACTAGTTTGTTTTAAGGGCAAAAAAAAATGAGAACATGTGAAATACCTGGTCATAGTGCTCTTTAGGTGGAGAAGAAAAGAAAGTGGGGTGACTGGGGCCCTGTGGAAGGAGTAGGAGAGCTTTACTCTTCCATCGGCATGTGAGGGTTTGGGCTTGTCACCCCGGGTGTCAGGGCAGGGTTGCCAGATAACTCCCTCTATCCTGCAGATATCCTGCTCAGTTTGGTGCTGCTCAAGGCCATGGGTCTGCGTGGTGTGTGTGCGAGCACGTGTGTGCACGTATGTATGCGTGGGCAACCTTCCTCACACATGCAGGTGCACACCATCCTCTGCGTCCCTTTTTACCAGTGGACAGTGTTGATGCCTCCCTTCGGCTCTCCCACCCCACCTGGTTTCCATGGGTGCTAAGGGGCCTCCAATGTGTCCCCGTATGTGATCCGTATGGCGTTTCGTTCATACATGCTCATAAATGTCTGCCCCCTGCCTGCTCTGTCCAGGGGTATTTTAGTGACGCCTGGAATACGTTTGACTCCCTCATCGTAATCGGCAGCATTATAGACGTGGCCCTCAGCGAAGCCGACGTGAGTATGCGCCTGCCTGCGGCCGCCCGCCTCTTGTCCTCTGTCTGTGCACATTCTGCTCCCTGCCCCACACTGGCATCACCTGGACAAGTCACAGGTCCCAATTTCACTTGATCTGAAACCAGGAATTTCCTAATGAGAGTTGTGGAAAAAAGGCCTTTCAGGGTAGAGCCTCATCCTGGGCCTTTTTGGACACAAATCACCTTTTGGAGGACTGACCACTTGGCAGCATTACCCAAGTCACTGATAGGCAGGGTGAGATAGGCGTCTCTAATTGTTCTTATTTTCTGTGTCTGCAGTGATACCCAAAGTGACGTAATTATAACGTGTTTGTTTTAGGGCAGTTTTTCAAGTAGCTGGGTGGCATAATGCTAGAATGTCCCCTTTTATAACGCTGTCCTTTTCTTCTTTTTTCCTGTGTGCTTCCTCTCCTCTGTGGCTTCTGAATGCTTGCCCTAACAGCACTATTTCACTGATGCATGGAACACTTTTGATGCCTTAATTGTTGTTGGTAGCGTCGTTGATATTGCTATAACTGAAGTGAATGTAAGTAGCAAACTTTGTGTCCTACAATGTGATTTTTTTGTGTGTGTTAAGTGTAACAGAGAGAAGACTCAAAACCCTGCCCAGGGATCTCTATATGCTTTAGAAATTCAGGCACACATTTCTCTTGAAAGAAGAGATTTTCAAAAGAAAACCATTTTAAGAACGTTTTATGGCCTCCCTACCCTCACCCCATTTTCTTCCCCTGAAAGAGAATGGGGAAATAGATGTAGAATTACTGTTTTGAGAACTAAAACATTATTTTAAAAGAAGATCTTGTTAAAATGTTAAGGGCTAGGACTTATTTATGTGAGTATGTGAACATTATCACTCAGTAGCTGTGTGACCTTAGCGTGTCACCTGACTACTTTGTGTCTCAGTTTTTCCAGCTACAGAATGGAATTCATAACATGTGCCCTGGTACCCGCAATGGTTCTGTGAGGGCACGGGAGGCAAACCCCACAGTTGTGCCCTGAGCACATGTACACTGCTGCTGGTGTCCTCACTTGTACCTTGTGTCTCCTGACTCCGACTGGTGACCCTGGGGAATGTTCTCCATCCTAGCTCCCCAAATGGTGATACAGATCAAAGGCCGCCCACGGCCCGGGGAAGCGGGGTGGGGTCAGTACTCCTTTGCTGCACTCAGTTGAATCTTTTGATGAAGGAACAGTAGCAGCATAGTAGATGGAGCGACCCTGCCCCTCTTCAAGAAGCATCCTGAGAACCCGCCTTCAGAATTAAAAGTCTTGAGAAGGGGGAGCACCACCTCCTGGCAGCTCCACTCGGGTCTGACCCACACCTACACCAGATGGGCCAGGGGCAAGCAGACATAGCCCTGCCCACCTGGCCTGTCCCAGTTCGTCAGCGAGTCTTAGTCGGTGTCCAGTGTGTGTGCCCAGGTTGTGTAGAGCCCTTCTCAGGGACAGTGGAGCATGAGATGGGACTATTGTGCAGTGTTGGCTTCCTGTTCTATGTTGCCAGCCCAGCCCCTTCCCCCATGCTTGGCTGGGAAGGGGCCCCCCGTGCTCTACCTGGCTGACATCTACAGGACTGTACGGTCCATCCTGGTACCCAGATAGCCTGTGTCAAATACTGACAGTAAAATCCCTCTGTGGCCATGGTTTTGGGGCCAGGCTGATTCTGAAGTATAGAATAGTGGGATGGCCACCAGCCTGGCAAGCCTGAGGCCTGGCAGTTCTAGTCCTAGTTCAAAATGACTTGTTGGATCTAGGTCTCACTTCCCTCATGGATCAACTGGGGTGAATCATGTCTGCTGTCCTGCTTCATAAGTATATTGTAGTGACAAAATGATATGAATACTTGTGAAAATTCTTGCTAAAAAAACCAAAGTGTTAGGGAGATACAAAGGTATTATTATAAGTGTAGATTTTCACGTAATAATAGCTGATACGGACTGCGAGACATTAGCATGTCCATGAAGGTCTAATTTTCCCAAAATTCGTGTCGTGACGAGGTACTATAATCATATTTTACTAGACTTAGGAACATACGTTCCCTAAGCTCCATAAGCCAAGATTTATGAAAATTTCACTTTGTGTGATATATTTCATACATCAGCTATAAAATTACCATTTATAATATGTGAATTATTCTTGGTTCTGAAATGATCTGATGCTAATGGAGGTACAGCAGGAGCCTAACTGGAATTTCTCCACAGTTTATGACCAGACATCTGCCTGCTTGCTTTTAATCATCTTACAATGCAAAGCACTTATAACCTACTTCAAAATATACTTAAATGAAAATTTGGAACAGACCCTTATGTAAGTCAGAGATGGTCTATAATGGAAATGAAAATATAAACTATAATTTCAGCAGGTCTCCCTAGAGCAGTGCTTAAAGTTTTGTGCAGGTGTTGGGTGTAAATGCTTAGTTTCTGGATACCAGGATGTGGCCAAGTTTTGTTCACTAAGTGAACAAGCCAGCTCTCTAATGCCAATCCTGCTGGCTGGGGATGTGTGGCACTGGTGCACTCAGCAACAGCATGTGCCCAGCTTCTCAGCTGCCTCGCCCTGTGCTGGGGGCAGGAGCCCACTCTGCCTGTCCCCTCTGACCCCGCCTTGCTCATCGGTGTCTCAGTGTTGTCCTCCTTTACCTCCCATTAGTCAGGAAAGCCGCAGGTCTGCAGAAGCTCATACTAAGTTTTCTAGTTAGCATTTGACACTGGGGCGTCTGTACAAAGCAGACGGTCATTGGGCCCATTCCTGGCACTCAGTCAGACCAGCAGAATCACCCTGGTAATCAGTCCCATACTCTTCTTTCACTCAGTGACCTTTCCCCTGGCCAGCTGTAGCTCGAGGCCAAACCTTCCTCAGCTGGCAGCAATGCAGAGTCCCAATCTGGAAGACCTCAGCATTTCAGTGCTGGGCCCCAGTGCAGACCAGATGCTCAAGGCAACCTTCCAGTCATTCAACACATGTTTATTAGACATCTCCAATTCTCAGGCCATGGTCCAAGCTTGGGGGAGGCAGAGAGATCAAAGAGACTGGGTGACCTTAACCTCTGATGGTATAAAATTTGAGTGGAGCTGTTGACTGCTCCACCCCCTCACTCACACATGCGAGTGCCCTACGGGAGCAGCACACATTGTGTCCCTTGGTGGCCTTGTCCCCCAAGCTCCTGGGTCAGCTGAGCATGAACACTCTTGGTCCTTCGTTGGCTGTTTTTAGCTGCCATAAGTCCTCATTATTTGCAATATTAACTTGCTGTGCTCTCTCCCCCAACCTCTGTTGATCTTTCTTTTCTGTTGCCTAATTGATTTTCATGTTGGTTTTATTTTTAGAAAATTGTAGCGGCAAGTATATATAAACATATATACGGTGAAGTCATTAAAGCAAAAGCACTTTAAAGACTGTATACTTGTTTTTGGCTTCCCCACCTTTGGTTTTCACTGAGTTTCACAGGACATGCTATTGGTCATGGTCATCTAAACTGTTTCCCGTCCCATATTTTGTTGTCTCCAGCCAGGGTCCTGAGCTGGGGCCACGTTGGTCAGTCATGCTTGGCTCTGTGACCTTGCCAGCATAATCTTCAAAAATGAATAATCTGGCCTGGAAATCGAAAAATCGAGCTTGTGTTTGTATTCTCTGCAAAAACATTTTGGATGGCCCTTTCCGTTGTCCTGCTTGCATGCCCACCCAGCCCTCTCCATCCTGCTGCCCCCTCCCACATCCCCAGCCTGCTCTTATCATGGTTTGATAGCTCTCATGGACTCATCTTCATCACTTTTGGTCATCACATCACCAAGCTGCTAAAATGTCAGACAATGACTGGCAGCCTCACTTTTGTTCCCTCTTTGATGCCTGTTTGTTCCTTGAATGGTTAAATGACCCAACAACTTATTTTTTTTCTCACCCGAGGAATGACTGTTGGTGACATTTAGTCTTTTCCCATTACTATTGTTGCTAGGAAGGCAAAATACTTGCTTATAAGCCATGTCTGCCCTGTTATTACTTACTGAAGAGCCTGTCAAAAGTCAGTAGGGAATTCACTCCCAGGGACCCAAGAATTATCACTGACTTATCAGGTACCAGTTGGGACCAGGTGGTCAACAGCTGCACTCAGCTTCTTCTGACCCCGATCCATTCTTCTGGTCAGGTTGTTCAGCTCTCCATTCCATACGGTCACCCTTTTCTAGGGACCAGGTTTCTGGGTTCTGGACACAGACTCAGCAAGCCCAAATACAGAAGCCCTCCCGCCCAGAGGTGTTACATGCCAGGTCAGAAGTCATCGGAGGGAGGCTCCCTCCAAAGACTGGGTTCTCCAGGATGCCACAGGTTAACTGTTTCTGGGATGTTGGTTTGCTTCTGTCTGAACTGAAAAACTGCATCCTCTCAGCTTTTCCATAAGAAGATGGGAATTAATTCAGAAAGTAGAGACCGATCCCTTCAATTGTACTTGGGAAACTCAGGGCTCGTTGGATCCAGTAGTTGCAGGGGGCTGGTACTGAGCCTGCATCTCAAGAGTCTGTTTGAGAGCTCTGCAGAAAGGGGCTGGAGGGAACATCAGGACAGCCCCAGGGACTTAAGGAGCTTTTCAGACCCTGGCATTTAGTTCGGCCTCCTGTGGCTGAGGGCCAAATCCCTGTTGGGTTCCCAGCTAAAGACTGGCATCTCAGTGTTGGAGGGAGCTACCGAGGTCATCTAGTCCAAGCCCTGAGATGACATTGGAATTCCCTCTGTTGAAAGCTGATCCCCCAGCTCCTAGCAGCTGCCTTTGGAAAGCTGCTTAAGAACTGAGTCCTTTCCCAATCTCATGTCCTCTAGGGGTATCCTGTGGTTGATCCCAGGAGTCCAACAGAGCATCAGCTCACTCATGTTCCATTTCTTCCTTTCACTAGCTCCCTTTGTTTCCATGGCCTTCTCCATCCCTTATAAGGAAGATGGGGATAGAGTCTAATCTCTGCATCCAAGTACTGAACCCTCATCAACCCCCAAAGAACTCACTGCTTAGCTGTAAAAATCTGAGCAGGCTTTTCTAGTGGTGCCACTCTGTATGGACAATCCAGACCCAAAAGGAATTAGCTGGTATGGGTGACCAGCTGAAGACGTGACCCAGCTTTACCCTGAATTATGGCTCCGGCAGCATGTTTAAATCATCTAGGAGCTTCTCAAACTCCCAAAGCTCAGACACAGCCCCGATCTATTAAGTAAAAATCTTTGGGGTGGGACCTAGGAATTGGATTTTGTTAAAGATCCTTAAGCAATTCTAGTGTGCCACTAAGAGTAAGAGCATGTCTGCCCTTTCATCAGGCTGGCTGGCATTTGTAGTGTGAGCAAAGCCATCCTCAGGGTCCTTCCATTGTGTAAGATATTTTGGCAACTTGTACTGTCCTCTCATGCTGCCAATGACATCTCCCGCCCAGTGTGGCACGTGGGGAAAGGGGAGGGTGCTGCAGGCTGCACGGGGGGTGCATGCAGCTTGATGTGCTTTCCTTTCCTGCATGTTGTATTGCCTTGTCCTCCACAAGTACTGTCTCCTCCTCTTTGTTTTTTTTTTTTTAAACAAAAGCATATCCATGGTTTCAAGTTCATAGCCCAAGGTTTGTCATACTTCTAAGACATCAGCTGAAAAAGAGATGTGCACTATGAAAGTCAGTTTGGCAGCTAACTTTCCCACATCACAAGGAAGAGGATGGTGAAGGGTCTGTCAGTCTTGGAGCAGGAGAGGCAGCAGGAAGCAAAAGGGGCTTGGGCAACATCGTGCAGCCAGAAAGATTGTCTTCCCCAACTACAGGTCCCCTCGTTCTCATGCAGGTCCAACTTACAGGTTATGGACATTTCAGAAGGTTACTGTAGAGAGCTCTGTCTTGTGCACACTCTGATCCCCTCGAACATAGGCAAACAGAGTGCACGCACACTCACATGCACACTCACACACCCTCACACTGCAGCTGCATGGACTAGACCTAAGCTTCATGCACACAGCCTCTGGGGAGATAGTGTGGGAGACAGAATATCACCATCTGTCTCTTTCAGGAGATTTTTATTTATTTTGAGGTGAGATAATAGAAGAGGAAAATAAAAATAGCGACCCGGGACTTGGACAAAGCCATTGCAGAATTCACATTCTGAGCATCCCAGATGATGCAGAAATCCCTCTTTCACCCTATTGGAACCTGTTAGTCCTGGATTTGCAATCACACTGCTGAATTTCAGTTATGAATTGATGTATCCAAACTCTTTATTTTCTATGAATTTTATAGAATTTTTGCGTTTGGTCTCAGCTGTTGACGAGAGTGAGACTTGAGAACTTGTTTTCCCTCTATCCCTAGGGAGGAGAGCCCATCAGATAAGTGTGTGTGTCCTTGTGCGCACACATCCCTTAGCTGTACAGACACACTGCAGAAAGGCTGTCTAGCAGCCTTGACATGCATGCAGCAGTGCTGGACGCCCAACCAGAAGAGCCTCATTGCTCTTTTGGTCACCAGGTAGACCAGCTGCTTCAGTGGAGGTGACCCTACTGAAGGGAAGAAAGAGGCCATTATTTCCTGACTCTTGTTCATCCCTCACTGTCTAAATTAAAGATGCCTCCTGATATATGTTAAAGGTTGCTTACAACTTCTTTGCATTTTCTGAAGCACTTCCTGAACATCTGATAAGTACCAGATACCGTGCTGGGCGCTGAGTGGAGCGAGGCAAGGTCCTTGCCCTCTCGGGGCTCCCAGCCTGAGGCGGGAGGCAGGTGCACATAGGGTGATAAGTGCTGTGCTTCCGCACCCTGGGGCCTGAGTGACAGGAACCCCGCCAGATCTCAGACGCGGCACTGCTGCCGAAGCTCAGGGCGAGCTGGTCGTAAGCTGTTTCTCCCCAGCAGTCACACGCAGCGGAGCTTCGTCGTCTTTGACAAGTCTGAGCCTGTCAGTCGGGCAGCGAAGCGTGGTGTAAGAAAACGAGCCCCTCTCCAGCTCCCACTAACTTGGTCTATCCAGCTCCCTAGCAGCCACACCAGAGAGGGCACCGTGGCGCACACACTGCCCAGACAAGCAGGCCCAGAAGCAGAGTGTGGTCCAGGAGGGCTGTGGGCCACAGGCAGCTGCTCTTCGTTCGCCCTCTTTGGCAATGTCACTCTGGTCCTCAGTGGCCTGCTGCAGAGCAGTGAGTTCCTGAGACCCACAGCCCTGACTCAGCGAAGAGAGCCAGTCTCCCCCGGAGACGGGCATCCTACTCTGCATTTCCATCTTTAGGGACAGTTGAGGTCTTGCAGCATTACCTTTATTAGGTGGCTGTCAGCCTTGGAAACCTCATGTCCTGGGATGTAAATTAGAAAGTAGTGTGTCTGAGCCCGTTGTCCGTGGCTGCCCGCCCTCAAGTCCAGTTCCAAGCGTTGCCCCTGGCATTGTCGCAGGGAGGGAGCAGGTGTGTTGTCTTAAGACAGTAACCATACATATTTAAAAAGGGGGAGGGTATGTCCTCCTGAACCACTGCTTCCTTCCCAGTTCATTAATATCTTTTCAATCTTTGATTTCTTAAAGCCAACTGAAAGTGAAAATGTCCCTGTCCCAACTGCTACACCTGGGGTAAGATCAGTGACTCGTCCCCAGGGGCTGGGCCTTTTCCTTGAGTTTATTTGACCATGTTGAGTTTTCCACTAGTTTTTCTGTATTCTCCATGATTGTTCTTCCAGAACAGTGTCTGCAGTGGTTTGCATTCATCATCAGTGTCCAGTACTCTTGACCAGCCCAGCGTTCTCCTCTTAATACACTAGACCACGTGGACATGCATGTGCTGTGTGGACGCAGTTTTCCAAGCCCTGTGTTGTTAGCATGTAACTTTTCCTTTCATATCATGCTTTGTAAGGTGAAAAGGCCCTAGAAACACATCTTCAATTCTTACCTCTGTCACCTTTGTTTGCATCTGTTGCTGTTTTTCTGAAAGTGTTGCATGTTCTACTTTCCATTGGGTTTGACCTCTCCATGATAACCCTTCAGAACTCTGAAGAGAGCAATAGAATCTCCATCACCTTTTTCCGTCTTTTCCGAGTGATGCGATTGGTGAAGCTTCTCAGCAGGGGGGAAGGCATCCGGACACTGCTGTGGACTTTTATTAAGTCCTTTCAGGTAAGAGCCATGCCAAGGGCTTCTCTTTGTTTTCGAAAATCCTGTGTAAGTCTGATGATCCCCTGTTGTAGACGATCCAGTCTCCCTTCTGCATGACCACTATGACCGCTTAGGTCACATGACTGCCTAGGGCACATGACTGCCTAGGTCAATAGAGAATTTGGAATGCTGGAGAGACCTGACTTACATTACTTGGGTAACTAGGATTACTTGCTTAAAGGAAACCAAAGAAAGCAGAGGGACCTGCAGCTGAGAGATCTGCAATATTTCCAAGACTAGTAGAGATGTGGAGCCTCTGAGCCCCTTAGTCTGGTCCTCCCCAGGATGCCCAGTGGTAAATGGTGATGTCTGACAGTGCGCTGGGTCCCAGCAGACCCCCAGAAGCCTAACAGCCTCTCTCTTGGATGGCCTCCTCTCATAAGGCTGCAGTCGTCCTGTGTCAACAAGTCTAGATATGAATCAGACAACTTTGCCTCGGCCAGCACACCAACATCAGTCTGTGGGTTTTCCAATGCCTGGAAGGATTACAAAGTTGAAGACATTCAGTCACAACCCTGGTCTCATTCGTCATCTGTTATTCTCCAGGCTGGTGCAGCCTGGCTCAAGTCTATTCCTGGCTCAAGTCTATTCCTCCACCATGCACATGGACATCTTCTATCACTTGAGATGAGGTAGAAAAGCAGTGGAGGAGTATTGGATTAAAGGACCAGGGGTCTGACCTGACACATATACTTGTATTTGATATTTTTAAGGAGAGCCCAGGATAGGCGACCACTCAGCTAGCAACTTTTCTTCCCTGGCCCAACTCCCAACTCTGTGGTTCTTTCAGAAAGTGTGCATTTTAAGAAAGGTGTCTTTCTTTCTACAGCAACAGCCAGAAAATGATTCTTCCTCTCTGACCCAGTAATTCCACTCCTAAGACTTCCCTCTAGAGAGAGACGTCAGCAGATGGGAAGGTCATTTTGCTTAAAGATGTTTCTTTGCAAGGTGATCTACAATAGCCCCTCGCCCCCACCCCAGACATGCCCACAAAAGAAAGTGGAAGACATCCGAATGTCAGTGTTCTGGAATGGTTCGATCAATTAGCTATTTTTACAAAGGAATCCCATGATGAATTTAAACATTATTTTGAGAGCAATGTGTCTGGATTGACATGTTAGGATTAGAATACACTGTTAATGACTCTGGAAGGCACATCCCGCCTGCAGCCGCATATCACTAGGTGTGCATGTGGCTGGTGTATGCAGGACTGAAGTCATTGTGCTCGGCTGGGGTTTAAAAAGTCCTTCCTCACCGTCGATGTCCTTTCAGTATAACATGGAAAAGAAAAGCATGTGGCTCCATGTGAGTCTTCAGTCCGCCCGAGCGGTCCCAGAGGCAAGAGACCAGTGCTGAGCCAAGTGCTTTTTTTCTTCTAGGCACTCCCATATGTCGCCCTTCTCATAGCCATGTTGTTCTTCATCTACGCGGTTATCGGCATGCAGGTAAGCTCTGGCCCTTTGGGGCCCCTTTTGCTGGGTAGTTCCAAATCTGTGGCAGATGTACCTTAGCCAGGTAGAAAGGAAAGACAAGATCATGATCTGGCAGCCAAACACCTCGGCTGCTGAAGAAAAATGGAGGTGAGAAAGACGTGGCTCCAAAGGAAAGAGCCCATGCCAGAGAGAGCCAGGCTCAGAAGAATAAGGAGTGGCTGGAATATACCAAGGAAAGATGGGTTTGGTGGTGCTCCTCACCCCTAGTCAGAGTCTTGGGAGAGTCCATTGATTGAGAAAACCCACAGTTAGTTGATTTTAGCAATAGAAACTACCATACGAAAAGAGGCCATAATTGTCCTGTTTTCTGCACTGATGTTGCTAAGAAGATATTTAATTATATAAAAGTCTGCTTATATTCTGAAAATTTGTTTTATAGTAACCAGGTGAGATTCTCACCCGAAACAAACTATTTCCAGATACTGTGGTTGGGGCTAAACTTGAACCATTATCTTGTCTCAGTAGCTCTCTTTTAAGAAGCATGAAACCAGGCCTTTTTGTGACCCTGGCTGAGAGGCTGCAGGATACTCGCCAGCAACTCCTGGGAGGGGAAGGGGACTGGGGCTTCATTAACAGCTGAGCCCTAACGTGAAGTGGCAGTGGGCAGAGCTTCCAGGAGGAGAAGGAGGTGGAGATCAGTCTGTCACACTGGACCTCCCCGGGTGGTCTCTCTGCCACCTTCTCCACAGGTTCAGATGCCCTCTTTCAGATAAGGAAGGGATGTGAGTGTAAAAGAGATGGAGTGATTCCAGAAGTATAGAAGGGGTTGGGCTTATTTTTTTTATTCTGAAGACATAGAAAGATTTATAAGTTACTAGGAATCTTACCATGATTTATGAATGATGAATAAACATACTCGTGCCCCAGTAATTTCAGCAGTATGCGATACTGTGTGTCCCGAAAGATCCTTTATGACATATAAAACCAGAGCTGTCTCAGAGAAGTGCAAACTGCATTGCACATACCATCAACTATTCACTCATGAAGCTTAGCCAGGCATCTAGCTCTACTGAAATGTCTATCTCCTTCTATAAGTCCTACAAGTAAAGTATTTCCTAACTTCACCTTGCGCTGGAGGTAAAGCCTCCCCGCTTTCTGTGGCCCACTGGACCCATGCTTGTCTGCAGCCTGATCTTTGTGTACACTCATTCTCTTCATTTCCTGGGGCACCTGTGCCGTCTCACCCCTGCTCCTTTGCAGGCGATGTTTCCTCTGCCTGAAGCATTCTTCACTGTCCCTGTCACTTGACTGGCTTCTACTTATCCTTTAGTTGTGGGCTTTAATCTCACTCCCCTGGAACTTGACCCAAGCCCCCAGCCTCAGATATGTTCTCTCCTGCCCAGCTGGATCATCCTAGCTCTCATCAGGAGGGGCTGCCTCTCTGCTTACTTCACTGTCCATCCCTCAGGGTAGGAACTCCTTGAAGGGAGAATGTGCCTGACTCCACCCTGTTCCTGGTAGTTGGCACAGTGCCCGGCACATCTTTGTGAATAAATGAAGTGCCAAGCACTGTGGGAAAGCCCTAGTGGATGGGAATGGAACTTTAGTTAGTTCTAAATCCACATATGGAGGATTTGGGGTTTTCTTTTTTTGGATGACAAAGTCTATTCTTTTTTTCACAATAATTTCTCCACCTAGATGTTTGGGAAAGTTGCCATGAGAGATAACAACCAGATCAACAGGAACAACAATTTCCAGACCTTTCCCCAGGCGGTGCTGTTGCTCTTCAGGTAACTGAGTCCCACACGGGGTGTGTCTCTCTCTAGCTTTGGGCTCTGGAGTGACAGAGGACACTTGTTATTAAAGCAGCCTGGCCTTTCCCTGTTGATCATGGTAGCTTTTTGTATGTGTTTTGTATTCTTAAACGGAGACACTAGCATCTCAGTCACAGAGGACTTTTGCTGGCTTGCTGAAACTGCTGTGGTTATTGAGATCGTGGCTGGCGTAAGGTTTATCCATTTGGGAGTCAGTGGATCTACTTAGGCCGCCAGGAAAATGGCAGGCTATATGCTTACACGTGGGCGCATGCACTGAAGCAACCAGGAACATGGAATTTTAGCAGGAACATAGAGGCCTTTTGAATAGCCAGTGGGGAACTTCCTAGGATGTGGAAATTTTATAGGATTGTTTTTAACTCCAGTTCAATAACTTTGTAAACAAGGTCCCTCAAAGTGAGAGAACTTTCTAGAAATCATACAAGTAATTCGTAACGAATTACTCTAGTGACTGGATAGCAGCAAGTCATTTACAAGTTAGGTAGTTTCTTTGCTTTCAACAAAATCGAATGGGGACCTAATCAAATCATTAGATGTTAGGTCATTGAAAGATAATTAATAATCGCTAAAAATTTTTTAATGTAAGGATTTAAAGAAGAGCAGACATGAAAATATCCATTTTTATAAGAAGAATTGATGTGCTTCTGTCAATAGATTGATATAAATCAAAGAGAATTATAGAGGGGCCTCCACTTACGGAGATAAAGGGCATTTGAAAATAAGTAGAAATTTTGTGTTTTCACTGGCTTTAATTCAAACTGGCTTTTCACCAAATTACTTAGGTTTTGCTCTAGTTCAAGAGCTTTTTACTTAAAATTTCTTAGAGGCTGAAGCCTCACATCCCCTCTTCCCCTACTAAAGCCCTTTCTTTGTTTAATCTGAAAAGGTGTGCGACAGGTGAGGCCTGGCAAGAGATCATGCTGGCCTGCCTCCCAGGGAAGCTCTGTGACCCTGAGTCGGACTACAGCCCTGGGGAGGAGTACACGTGTGGGAGCAACTTTGCCATTGTGTATTTCATCAGTTTTTACATGCTTTGTGCATTTCTGGTATGTGATCAGAAGCCTCTCCCTCTCAACTGACAGATGTTTGTGTTGCTCTGGGATTCCGATCAATGATTTCTGCCCCATCCCCTTGCTGAGGACCAGTCTATGTTGAATACTCTAGATTTCACTTGGCAGTTGGATGATTTTGCTGAATCATCAAGTGTTACTAGCGCCTTTGTTGTAAGCAGCGGTTTGATGCTTCCTCACAGGCTTGGGGCAGCCACTACCACAGCTTCTTAGGGCTGCTGGTTCCTTTATAAAAATTTCAAAGCCACTTCACATAGCGGTGACTTATGAGTATGAGTTATTTGATGGCGATGAAGTTATAAAACTGCAGTGTGCTTTGTAAGTCCTGATAATGCATCACCCTGCCCTCCCCTGGGACTGTACCAAAGCCATTTCGGAAAGAAGCTTGCCTTTTTCTTAAGCAGCCTCCAGAAGGAAAGTGTTTACAGTCTCTCTGGAGAAATGGGTTCAAATGTTTCATGACCCCGTGATTAGGAAGCATTTGCTAGGGTCTAGCCCATTCCATCCCACTACAGCTGAAGCTCCTTCCTTCTGATTTGCTTTCACAGATCATCAACCTGTTTGTGGCTGTCATCATGGACAACTTTGATTATCTGACTCGGGACTGGTCTATTCTGGGGCCTCACCATTTAGATGAATTCAAAAGAATATGGTCAGAATATGATCCCGAGGCAAAGTAGGTTGGAAAGGATTCTCTCTGGCTTGTGTGGGCTATTTCTGGAATGTTGGCCTTGGGTTTTGTGGAAGGTGGGGTGAACTGAAAGCTCAGGCCAGCCATGCCTACCTGGACCTCACGCTGTACTTTGTCTCCAGGGGAAGGATCAAGCACCTCGACGTGGTCACTCTGCTCCGCCGTATCCAGCCTCCCCTGGGGTTTGGGAAGTTATGTCCACACAGAGTAGCCTGTAAGGTAAGTGTCTTATAGGGACTCCTCGGTTCACTTAACAAACATTCTGCCAAATCTTCTGTCAGGCGTGGGGGATCAGAGATGAATAATCTGTGGTTCCCGTCCTTAAAGAACTCCCAGATGTGTAACTCTCAGGACACCCTGTCAGCCAACAATAAGAACAGGAAGGGAATTATGTAATTTGTCATTGGGTAAATGGAGGGAAAGGTGACATTTGTATCAGGTTCTGAAGGAGAGAAGAGTAGGAGTTTGTCAGAGTGGGAAGGGTATTGCAGAAAAGCAGTACAGACGTGGAGGCAGAAGAGTAAATATTGGCATATGAGAATAGATTTCGTCATATTGGCCTATAGGGAGTCATTGGTATGGCTAAAATATAAGAGGAAGGGGCAAAAGGCCACAGGCATAAACCCAGCATAGCCGTGAGGAACTTCTATGCCATGCTGAGTTCCAAGGAAGAAACGTAAGTGGACTTCCATGTTGGAAAAGTAACTGGCAATGGAGAAGTAAACTGGGGACAGGAGAACACCCAGGAGAGCTGTAAGAGTCATCTGAGTGTGAAGTAACAAGAGCCAGGGGGAGGGCAGTGGGAATGGGGATAGAGAGTTGGAGGTGGCTTAAAGATCTGCCTAGGAAGTAGAGAGGAGAAGACTTGGTCCCCTGGACATTCCTAGCTTGTGTGATGGTGGGCGCAGCGATGTGCCCCTCTGCTGCCAGAGCTCCGTTCCTGGTGAGCTGTGTATCAGGTAGTGGCCTTTCATGGGTGGATCCAGATCTCCCACCCACCCCACTTCTATAGTTTTCACATAGACCATGCTCTCTGTGAGCCCTGGGCGATATTTATTTTCTTTCCATAGAACTCACAGTGATCCACCTTGAGTCAGTTGTAGCACCAGATCATTCCCAGTTTTAAAGGAGAAACGCAAGATTTATATGTTGAAACTCTATCCCCATAGAAATCCAGGCAGTCTGCCCAGCAGCTGGTCCCCATCCCCCATGGACTCAAGGGGATTTCAGGGTCAGGGGTTTTACCACTTCGGGGTTGCTGGACCAGCTCTAGACAGACCCAATGTAACAGAGTAGAGTCTACGACATATATCAGTCTTTCCAAGAAATCTTCTAAGCCAAACTCATTGTTCCCTGCCCCAAAAGTCCAGAAAGCCCCATTGGCAAGTCCTCAGGGTCTTTGTCTGTGTCTTTGCTTCTCCTCAGCCAGGACTCTGGATGCAGGTACAGAGAATAAGCCTCAGAAGTTTACTTTTTTCATAAATTTCTCAATTCTAGCCTCCTCTCTGCTTTCCAATAACAAGATGAGTTCCAGCTCAGGGCTGTCTTCTTGTGTTCACATTTCCAGACTCTGGTATGTGATCACATAAAGGATCTAAGTGTCTGTCCTTGAGAAACAAAGTGGTTTTTTTTTTTTTTGCTGACTCAGAAACCTGGTGGGAAAAGTTGGGTATCCAGGGCATCCCAGCTGCTTGCACTGGTTTTGGATACAGGGATGGTTGGTAATAGGACTGAGAATTTAGATGGGATGCATCATGCAAACACAAATTTCCATCCATTAATAGGAGAAAAAAATTTTTTTTTACTCTTTCTCTTGGGACACCCTGTCAGCCAAAATAAAAAAGTTGAAACTATTAACAATTATAATTACCATTCATTTAGCACTTACCTTGTTCCAGGCACTGGGATGAGATCTGTGTCCACAATCTTTAATCTTCGCATAGCCCCTTGGGTGTGGGCAAACCATCTGTATTTACAGATGAGGTAACTGGGCCCCAGAGAGGATGTAATTCACCCTGTCCTGTCCAACTCCCAGTGCTGGTGTTAGAGGGACCGGGATAGATAAAAGAGAAACAGGAAGTGGAGATCTGCTCTGAAAAACCAAATGCTTGGAGAAACTACGCAATCTTTAATCTTCGCATAGCCCCTTGGGTGTGGGCAAACCATCTGTATTTACAGATGAGGTAACTGGGCCCCAGAGAGGATGTAATTCACCCTGTCCTGTCCAACTCCCAGTGCTGGTGTTAGAGGGACCAGGAGAGACAAAAGAGAAACAGGAAGTGGAGATCTGCTCTGAAAAACCAAATGCTTGGAGAAACCACGTGGACTTGGACTTCGCAATGGTCTCACCAGGGCAGGGTCCTTGAAGGACACTCCCTGTGTTAGGAATGGTAATGGGCCCTGTCGTTTAAGGATCTAAATCCCAGGCCCTGTGCCTGGCTCGTTGTATCTGACACATCATTTTATCCTCATAGCAGACTTAAGGATATGCCTAGGATGGAGTCCTGACCCCAAGACACAAGGGAACTGGTTAATGAGAAAGGGAGAAGACTGTTGGAACAATGAGGTGATTAAACAGTTAAGGTTAAAAAAAAAAAAAGGAAAAAAAAACACCGTCTGAGTTTCATGACTAAAGCTTTGATCTTTGCCATGTCAGAGCCCCGCAGATGGTAGGCACTCCTAAAATGGCTGGTTGACGAGAAAAGAGATGAGTGATAAACAGAATAAGTGTGGAAAAGGGACATGGCCATCGTCGATCATTCATATTCCATTAAGAAACTTTTCTTTCTGTTTGCAGAGACTGGTTGCCATGAACATGCCTCTTAACAGTGATGGGACAGTCATGTTTAATGCAACCCTGTTTGCTTTGGTTCGAACAGCTCTGAAAATCAAGACTGAAGGTGAGCATGCCCTGGAGGCAACACAGGTGGTAGACCTGGAAGGAGCTGCCATCTCCCACCTGCGTTCTCCCTTCTGGGCCTTTCTGGGGTGCTGTGTGCAATGTGAACATTTGTGCTGGGCCAGCTGGCTGTCCCTGCTTCCCTCATCTCTTCTTTTCACCCTTTATGCTTCACTTTGTCCCAGAACATTTCGAGGTGACTCATGCCACTGATTACTACAGAGCAGAAGAAATAGGTGGGAGATCAGGGCAGAGAAAGATCCATCACACATGAGTTCACCCCAGCTGTCCCTTACTACTTGTGTGAGCTTCGAGGGCTTTTGCTGTTCTAGCTGTGTTTTGTTTTGTTTTTGTTTTTGTTTTTGTTTTTTTCCCTCTAGGGAAAGGAAATAAACTCACCTATGTCAGGGTAAGTCCTGGGGGTGAGATGAGCTGATGTCTGTAGTGCAAGCACATAGTCGGCACTTGGGAAATACCAAGACCAGCATCCTCCCAGCCGAGACCAAACCAGAGTGGTCTTTGTGGCCACGCTCAGCCCTGGTAGAACAAGTCATGGAGTATAGTAGACATTGGGGTTGGCTCGGTGGCAACTTCAGAGGTGGAAGGGAAATCAGATTGCAGCAGGTTGAGGAGTGACCAGGAGGTGAAGAAGCGAGGACTGTGAGGGAGATGAGAGAACAAAGGCCAGCCCGGGATGCATGCAGAGTCAGTGGACAGTGCTTACCTTGCAACCCCAGAGCTCAGGGTGAATCTGCCCAGCAAAGCACACCTCTTGCAGTGTGTGCCTCTGTACCTGGCCCCCAGCTGGCATCAGTGAGGGATGTAGAAGGCAAGGTGGTCTTATATACTGACATGTTAGTTGAGGAGGAGAACATCAGCCCATCTGGTGAGAGACCAAGATGGTGCGGTGCAGATGAGTACATACGGTAGGAACTGAGAGAGTCTTACTTGGGGAAATTTAGTCTGGGTCTTCAAGGATGGAGGCAGTATTTGGCATTCTAGACTGGGAGCAGTGAGAAAGGAGTAAGTGCTGGCTTGGGAGG